TTCATACCACCATTGTGTTGTGCTCATTTGGAAGGCCACCAATATGGGTAGACCGACCAGTAATTCACCTTGACCCTTTTGAACCTTGCTAAAAAGCTGGTTTTTCTCTCTCTTGGGTCACATTTTCTGGTTTTTCACTATACAGCTGTGTTACACTCATCTAGGAGGCCACCTTTTTGGGGTGGCCGGCCAGAAATTCTTCTTGAACCTTTTGACCCTTGGTCGGCCGACCAGGGGGAGTGGCCGGCCGGCCACTTGAACTGGCCGGCCTGCTTCTTGCTTTTTGCCCTCTCTGAATGCATCACAGCTGTGCCAACTGTGAGGCAATTGGACCATCCTCCATGTGAAGCCACTTTAAGATATTTTGGAGCCTTTCCTCTATAAAGGGGAGGCTGATCTTCTATTGCAAGGGTTGAACCCCTTTGAAGGCTTACAACTCTCTCTCTCTCTATATCTCTACACTTGAGCTTCCAAACCCTAATATTATTGCACCATTTGCACACCAACCCTTAGCACAACACCTCCTCCATCCATTCCAGCACTTTGGGACTGATTTTCAAGAGTTTAAGGTTCACCAACTTGGTCCAAAAACTCCAGCTTTGCTGCTCTTCAAGGGTAAGCACCTATTTCCCTTAAACTTGTATTTTTTTGCTCTATTGATTAGCCTTACTTGAAAATATTTATGGACTTTGTCATAAACTAAAAAGTGTCATATTTTGAGTTCCTCTTGAATATTGATTAAGGACACTTTTCTGTTTGAGGTCTCCTACATCCTTGTATGCTTTATCCCTCTTTGTAGGCCTATTTTGCATCATATCTTAGTCCTACTTGTGAGCATTTTCGAGATTTGTCATAAACTATAAAAAGTTTCTTTTTGAGCTTATAAACATGTTTGTTTAAGATACTTTTTCTGTTTGGGGTCATCTACCTCCTTTCATGCCTTATTTCCTCATGTTTTGAGCTATGCATGTGAGCACATGCATTGGCCTTGATTTGGCCTTTTAGCCACTGAAATCCAGTGGATTTTCAGTGGCTTAGATGTGCCTTTGAGCTTCAAAATCATAGAGGGGTGACCTTCTCACCCCTCATTCTCTTTACTAGCTTTGTTGGCCTTCCAAAGGGACCCTCACTTGTATGTTATGAAGTCACTTTTTGGGATCAATTTGGTGAGTTTCAAGGCCTTCCTTAGCTCTTTCCGAAGCCTCTTTGGTCTTATTTTATGCCTATAATGCATGTGTAGAACAATTCCATTCAAGGCCTTTTCAGGGGGTCTTTCATTGTATGCTTCATTGACCCATTTCAGGGCTAATTTGGTGAGTTTTAGGCTTGTCATATTTGATTTCCAGAGTTGGTTTTTCCATGCTATGTGTCCTTGTTGTATGTGTTGAGTAACCCCTTGCATGGCCCTCTAAAGATGCTCATCATTTTTGCATGTATTGGATGCATTTCAGTGGTTATTTGGGCATATTTTGTCATGTTTTACTCACTATTTTTGGCTGGTTTGATGAGTTCTCATACGCTTCATATACATGCCATGTAAACCATGCTTGCTAACCAAATTTGCATGCTATTTTAGTCCATCATGTTAGCACTTTTTGGCCATGCTTTAAACTAGAAATGTGCATGTTTTGGGACTGCCTTGGCTCTATCTTTGTACCTCATGGCCAAATAATGCTTGTTTTGCATAGTTATAATCCAATATATGTGCCTAGCTTTGAGTTTCTTGGCTTATTTCATGCATCGGGTGCCATATTTCCATGTTTCGGGACCATTTAGCATCATGCTTCAGTGTTGGAAATTACATGTTTGTATGCCATCTTTCATCCCTTGCCATGCTTTGGTAGAGTGACATTTTATGCCTTAGGTTCGGTCCTCGGTATACGTGCACGTGTGCACGCATTTCGGTTCTCTCATTTCCATCACATGGCCACTGATGTGAGTGTGGCTGAGATCCACTCATGTTGGTATAAGTCCATCCTGTATTGTGTATGCCATTTCGGTCCATAGCATTGCGTATGCTAGGTTGTATGTTAGTCGCATTGTGTATGCCATCTCATTTGCATCGTGTTTGGGAGAGGAGTTAGCCCAAGCACAGGAAACGAGGTACGTTTCGTACTCCGAGTGACGGAACGTGTCTCAATTCCCTGTCACCGACACTCCAGATTACCCATGATGGAGTTTAGGTCTTGTTGTGTTTTCATGTGCATTCATTTCATATTGAGTCGTGCAATTTGACTCCTCGGCCATCATGCATCGATATGCGTGATTGGTGGCACGAGGATCGAGAACTACACTCCCTGAAGAGTAGTCATGCATACATATGTGAAAATACTTTGCCATGCCCCTTTGTTGCTCTCTGTTGCAGTAAATTAGAAATCAGCAGCCTTCTGGAGCGTTGCGCAATATTTCGAGAACAATTGCAAACAGAGGCAAACTAAGGCATCGTAATGGATTTCCGCGCAAGGCAACTCAAGCATGCATCATTTATCATTTGAAACAGAGCTAAGGCGGTCCATGGGTTTACATGCTAATTTACCTGCTTTCCTAGATTAATTTGTTAATTAATTAGGATTTTGTATTAATTCGGACTGTACTATTTATTCGGACTGAATATTATTTATTCGGACCCTCCAAGTGAGGGCAATGTTGTAATAAGTGTGCGTGCGTGTAATGTATGTCTTCCAACCCCACGTCTTTCTCCCTTTTATTTACCAGCTTATGATGGTTAGATTAGGGCATGTTTCAATTGGCATACAGTATGATAGCATATTTGCATTCATTCATCTGTCTTGCATACACCGGGCTCGGCGCATCATACTTACTGCATTTGTATTTCAATTCCGAGTTGAATACTTGTTAGTTGTAGCATTTCACATGCCATCTTTAGAATAGCCGAGCCTATCTTAGTTGCATTTTGCATGTGTTGCATTAGGCATTTCTGTATAGTTAGGATCATGCATGGATTTCTAATTAGCATCTATTTTGGCTTGGAGTACCCGGTAAGTGGTTATGCTTTAGCATTCTTGCACGCGTGTGAGTGACTACCATGATAGCATGCTTTACCATGAGGCTATTTGCTTATATGATATAACTGCCCGAATGCTTGTGGGTGAAGGTTGGATTATTTGAATTGGAATAATGCATTGACTGTGAGTTTTAAGCCCACTAGTTAGTGGCAAAACCATCTTTTCTAAGCCCACCCGAGGGTGGCAAAATCTATATTTTAAGTCTACTTGCAAGTAGCAAACCGTTTTCAAAACAAACATGAGATGTTTTGTTCCAATTCAAGCGATCCAGTCTATACTTGTATGATGTGCGCATCACATAGTAAATCTAGGCTAATAACCGGATTAAGAACGCATAATATTTTCAAAACTAGATATCATGGTTAGTAGAGGCTGATCTTTGATCGGGTGAGCGGGGGTGCTCACGAAGTGACCTTTCCCAATCGTACCCAAGTTTCCGAGCCGAGGCAACTTTGGTGATTACGGACACGTGGCCTTAGGCAACGAGTCAAGGTTTCCTAAATTTCCCAAAATAAAATATTTAGGTGGCGACTCTGTATCTGGCAAAGCAGTCCATGTTTGGTACTTCTTTCAAAAAATCTGTTTTCAAAAACGATTTGCCGGATTTGGACTCTTTGATGATTCATCGGTCTTGCATTGCATTCTGCGAGATTAGATACAGGACCGTAACAATTTGAGTCCGAACTGTAGTGAGGCCCAAGGGCGCGCCTACAGCTATTTATAGGCAAACATTTGTAGGAAAAAAATTACCTAATAACTACTACATTCTTCCATTCCCCACACTTCACACTCCATGATCTTCCACTTCATTTTTATGTCTCCATAACTTCCTTTAACCTCCAATTCGTGCTCTATGATCCTTCACATTCTCTATCATCATTTCACACGTGTTAATGATTCATAATTCTCATAACCTCCAAATGAATAGGAGAGTAAAATTGTCCTGCAATTTATCAATAATAATGTTATTAATAATAAATTATTTATTTATGGTGCCAACAATACTAATAAAAATAATTTTTTTGTTTAGAACAATACAGTCGACTCCTATAGAGGGTGGGTGTCCCTCTTTCTCTTTAGACTAAGGCCTTATTTGGCAAGTGACTTTTTTAGTCAAAAAGTTAAAAAGTCACTAAAAAAAATTAAAAAGCTAACAGCCTACACCAAAAAGTTAAAGATTTTATTTTCTCTCTACTTTTTAAACATCTTTTCAAAAAAAATTAAAAAATTATTCTAAATATATTAATTTTTATTTACATCATATTTTGATTAAAAAAATTTAAAAATTACTAAAAAAATCTGCTCTTAACGAAGCGCAAGTTGGTTATATTATTATACCTAACTTTGTGTCATTCTAATTAAACATTGAAAAGTCTCCTATATTGCCATCCCCACACCTATATCCTATATTATTGATTATACCTAACTTTGTTGTGTCATCCTATATCCTCTTTATGCATTAAATTGTGGAGTAAGTCTGGTACTTTTATCTTTTTAAAAATTATTTTGACCACGTTATAGAAATTAAAGTTTTAGAAATTAAAATTTAAAGATAATATTATTTTTTAGGAACTAAATAATTTTGTTACAAAAAATATTGTTATTATATTTTTAGTAATAAAAATTAGATATTAGTGTTGAATTATTATCTTTTAGGATCAAAATTTTTATCTCAAAAAATAATTATTTTGAGATCAAATTATTGTTTCTAAAATCCTATTTAGTAATGACATTTTTAAAATTTTGTTACTAAAAGTCTTATTTTTTACTTTTCGTGATGACCTTTTAATGACTATACTCATGACGATAAAAATTGATTTCTAAATAACTTTTACAACAAAATTTTCTCTTTTAAAGATTAAAATATTTAATATTTAAAACTTTTATACGTTGTAGTGTCATTTTATAACAATTGTCCCAATTCATTACCCAAACACAACGCAGGGATCTCAAAAGAGTATATCCCTGACTTATTATAAATAGCAGTAGTAGTAGAAGATATTAGATATGCAATTGAATTCTAAACAGAATTGCACCTTCAATGGCTTCCCTACTCACCTTCCTGGTCATTATAGCCACTGCATTCTTCTTTGTCGACACCTTTGCCATTCCTACAGCCAGACAGCTAGAGGGTATGCTCTCTCTCTCTCTCTCCACTTCTCATATATATATATATATATATATATTTGCTGTGCTTCTCCTCTATATAAAGTTGGAACCTAGACTAATATAAATCGTTTAATGGATTTGGATTACATCTTACAAATCCAATTAAAATTAAATTTAAATGGATTAAATATGAATATTCATTTAAATTCGTTTAAACGAGTTCCACCACCTCTACCACCACAACCACGCTGCTACTGCTTCCACCACCATCACGACTCCACCTCTATGACTATCGCATTTTTCACCACCATCACCGCTGCCAATCGCTAGGAGGAGAAAATATTTTCATAATCCAACTAACAATGATTTTTTTTTTTTTTTTTTCCAGAGCTTGAAACAAGTGCTGAGTTTAGCTACTCTGGCGACACTGGCCCTGACAAATGGGGAAGCTTGAGCCCTGATTATAAGAAATGCTCGAAAGGAAAATCACAGTCTCCAATTAACATTGTGGAGGACAAAGCTGTTCCGGATAAAACCTTGAAGCCCTTAAGAAGACAATATTACCCTGTAAATGCTACGTTGGTTAACAATGGCTACAATGTTGAGGTATGTTACCCATCGTCATTAGCAAGGATTCTCTAGAGTGATTTTTCCCTAAAGTTTCCTAGAGTGCAACATTGTGTGGTTGAGATTTACTGGCAAGTCACATCAATTTTTCTGATGTGACTTGCCAGTAAATCTCAATCACACAATATAACACTCTAGGAAACTTTAGAAAAATTTCACTCTAGAGGATCCTTGGTGCATCGTCATAGTTAATAAAAATTTGAAGTTATTTCAGGAAAACGTAAAAGATTTATTTATTATCCTTCAACGTTTGAGGTTTGAGTTGTCCAATTTGTAACGGAATTTTTGAAGTTAATTAGATGGAAATGTTATATTTCTCTATTTTTCATATGAATTTATAGCAAATTCATGTATTTGACGATTCATTTCCTTCATTTATTTACATTCTTGCCAATTGTATATATTGGGTGACTGATTTGCAAGCACAATAGGTAAATAGCAAAAATTAAAAAAAAGAAAAGAAAAATAGAGTGTGCGAGGAAGTGACAAACTGTAACTTTGACTTCGAATTAGTGAAGGGTTATTTATATGATGATTCCTTAAATTATTAAAAAATATTACTTCGACTCTCTAAATTATAAAAACATATAAATAGATCCTATAAATTATTAAGAAGTATCACTTTGACTCTCTAAACTACAAAAGAGCACAAACAAACCACATAAATTATAAAAACGTACAAATCAGTGTGTTTGGTTTCAATTTTTTGGATTCAATTTTCTGGAAATTGATTTTTTTTATTTTTAGCGAATATTTTTAAAATTTTAAGCAATTTGTTTTACTCTTTTACATACACCTTACTTAAATGTATCTGAAAATTAAAATTTTTGTAATTTTTTAAAAAAAATCAATAAATATACACGAATACAAAAAATATATTGAATTCTCTTTATATATATATATATATATTGTTTTTTTTGTATTTAGTAAAATTTTTAAAGATTTTTTTCACAAATATTATACTTTTTTAAGTGTATTTATTGATTTGTTAAGGGGGTAAAGCAATATTTTTCGATAATTTAAGGTATTCATTTGTCTACCTTTATAGTTCAAAGGGTAAAAATAATATTTTTCAACAATTTAGGAGTCTCCATGTAAATAATCCATTAATGAATTCATATGTGGTCTTCGTAAACATAGGCTTTTGAGGTTTTCACAAGACCTCTTGCACATTAGTTTATTTATATAAATGAAAATATCAAGTTTCTAGGTAGGAGAAAATAAGACATCTCAAAAATGGAGAATCTCTACTAATCGCAATGGTAAAAAAAATGGATTTTGTGGCATTAAGAATTGTATGTCATTGCTCAATGAAGAATTTTTGCATGTAGCTGGACTTTGGAAATGCAGGAGTGTTGATTGGAAATGGAAAAAACTACACCTTGAAGCATATGCACTGGCATACTCGTTCTGAGCACACAATTGATAATGCCCCGTATGTTTTCTCTCTTTTGAGTTTTGTATAAGTCCCATAATTGTTACAATTACGATGACATATAAATATTTGGACAAATTTCATTTTACCTTCTTGTGCTTTTATCCATGTGCGGATTATCCCTGTGCGGATTACCCTATTGTGGTTTGTGGATTAAAGTATAACATCAAATATTCCGTCCAATTTAATAGTAAGTGTGAAATACGTGATAGACATAAGGCGGGTTATATGCTCATTTTAAAATTTTAAGGGGATAAATTGCATATGGAATAAAGCACCAAAGGTTAAGGTGCACTTTACCTTCCAAACAAATGATGAAAATATCCATAACTCACACACTTAAGTTACTTATATACAAGGATATTTTAGTCTTTTTAATTAAATCGTTAACGGATCTAACGGTGCACTTCAGTCCACAAACACAAAAGGCTATGTGGTTATTTACAAGAATAAAAGGGATAATCCCACATAGAATAAACCACAAGCGAGTAAAGTGAAATTTCCCTAGATATTTCCTACTAGTTACGCTTCTAAAGTTTTTGGAAGCAAAAAAGCTTATTGCTAAATTTTGATAATTACAGATTCCCTGCAGAGCTTCATCTAGTCCACAAGGCTAGGGATGGCAGCTTCTCAGTTATATCCATCCTTTATGAACTTGGCAAACCTGATCCTATTATTACCAAGGTACAGTATATCTTGCGTTTCATCATATTTAATCAATCACAACTAGGGATGGAAGTGGAGATGGGTTTGTAGTGCCCGCCGCCACCTCTAATCATATTTTGGATGGGAGGAGGGCAGGGCAAATCAGGGAGGTGGCAGAGGAGGACCAGTAGGCGGGATAATTTTACAGCTTTAGAAATGACGCTACTAATAAAAATGAAAGATGATGTAATATATTATGGATAAAACTGAGAATTATATATATTAGAAATAAAGAAATAAAAATGAACGTTAATCAGGTGGATAATGGGGTGGGGAAGAAAAACCAATCCTTGCATTAATTAGACTTATCAGGGATGGATGGAGCAGAGAGAAATTGCCATCCCTAATCACAGTTTGGTGATAGTATTATAGCCAAAAATAGAAGTGACTATGAGAAAACTTCATATTGAATTTGTCATATGGTTTTAAAATAAACGAAAGAGTTTGACAAGTTCCTAATTTGTGGTGCTTCATGGTTGCAGATCCAAAGTCAATTAGCTAAGTTGGCAAGTACTGGAACAGCTAAAATTGCTGTTGGGACCTTTGACACCTCGCAATTGTGGAAAAAAACCAACAAGTATTATAAGTATGTTGGTTCTCTCACCGCTCCTCCATGCACTGAGAATGTTATCTGGCATGTCTTGGGCGAGGTACTACCTAGTTAATTTCATCAACAAAATTTTCATTTGCTTCTTCTATACTACTAAAAAAAGTACTTTTTGCGATCATTACAAGCCGTTGCAAATAATAAAAAAAGTTGCAAAAGACTTTTTGCGACGGCCCATGCGACGGTAAATGAGGATCGCTAATGTGGGGGTGGCAAATACTTTTTGCGACCGCAAAACAGCAATCGCAAACTATTTGCAACTGCCTAACCTACTTATAACGACTGATATTTTTGCCGTTGCAAAAAAGTTTAAAAAAGACCTACAATGTATTAGCGACCATCTTCTTACCATCGCAAAAAAAAAAACCCTACAATCACATATATAGATATATATGTATATATAGTCAAATCTTTGTGTTTTCATCAAAAATACACTAGAATATGACAAAACACATCAACATGCAGTGCAATATATTGAACTAATAAATTGTGTTGACATGAATTTGGAATTTTCATAAAGGTTTGTTCCTAGGAAAAAAAAAATGACAGGTTTTATTTTAGCATATTTTAATAAATATAGCTAATCCTAATATATATAATAATATTATTATAACTATCCAAGTCAAATTTTAGATCTTATTTTGTTGGGATTGTACGTACTTTTTTAGAATCTTTTACACTTGTATTTAATATATAAAATTAAGTTATTAGACAATACTTAATAATATTTTATATGGATGACTATATAAATCTCAATGTGTTTAATTAAGGGGCAATTACACCTCAGTGGATTTTTCAACAAATAATTATATATTAACAATATATTGAACTAATAAATTGTGTTGACATGAATTTGGAATTTTCATAAAGGTTTGTTCCTAGGGAAAAAAAATGACAGGCTTTATTTTAGCATATTCTAATAAATACAGTTACTCCTCATATATATAATAATATTATTATAACTACATATCCAAGTAAATTTTTACATCTTATTTTGTTGGGACTGTACGCACTTTTTTAGAATGTTTTACACTTGTATTTAATATTTAATAAAATTAAGTTGTTAGACAATACTTAATAATCTTTTATATGGATGACTATATAAATCTCAATGTGTTTAATTAAGGGGCAATTACACCTCAGTGGATTTTTCAACAAATAATTATATATTAATGACAAATATTATAATTATAATTATTAATATTTATAAAATTTGTAATTGCTTTTTGATAATACTACTTATTTGAATATTTCCCCTTTAATTAATTAATTATTAGATTTTTACACATTTTGATAGATTTCAAAACTGTTTCCAAACAATTTTATGTATTTTTGAGTTGTAAATGCTAATCGATTCAACACACTGAAATGAAAATCTTGATCCTTGTACAAAATGCAGAAGAGATCAATATCTCCAGCCCAAATTGATGCTTTGAAGGCTCCATTGCTACCGGCAAATAAGAATAATTACAGACCTGTGCAACCATTACATGGGCGAAAAGTTGCGTTATTCGATGATTACTAATTTACACAAGTATTGATGAAGACAAGTCACTAAATAAAAAATGCTTCAAAATAGTATTGAGGCTTAAATAAAGAACAATCTTGGCTTTGTTTATCTCATGAATGATCTTTGATTGCCTTCTCCTTGAGTCATTCTCAATGCATGCTCAATTAGTCTCAATTTCTCCATAGTCTTTAAATGCTTGAGAGCTTATCAAGCAAAGTATGATGGAACGAACTTGTTTATTTTATGAACAATCTTGATTAAAGCTCGAATTGACAATATTTATAGTTTGTTATTTTTTCATTTATAGAAAATAAAAAACATATTTATATTTATTTTTGTTGAATGTAAATAAGAACAAGTTAGTCATTTGATTTCTACCCTTTAAAAAAGGACTCGAATTCTCTTCAATCCACTATTTAGGCCCATGGGGCTCATCACGAGTCCTGTTTCGATGATCCGAACCGTCAATGTATAGAGCTTGTCGAGTATTTCATTTTTGTAAAAAGGCACGTTGATTGGATATTGATAAGTACTTGATCGGATTAAATTTTTCTCAACAATTTATTTTGAAAATCATATTTACCGTTGACAAAAATATGATTTGTTCAAGTAGGTATTGATATCTGATTAATGTAATTTTTGGAGAGATGAAATACTAGGCGAGTTTTACATATTAAACGACTCGGATCATCGAAACAGAACCCGTGGTGGGCCCCTACGGGTCCAGTAGTACGCTCCAGTTCAATCTTGGACTAGAGAGAAACTTGACCCTTAAAAAAAATGCTTTACAAAATAGAGAAATTTTTCTTAAAAAAAAAGCACAAAATGTAATATTGACAAAAGCTATATTCATTTTGGTTTAATGTGATGAATGCAATACTGCCAATATTATATTAATTGTACATCTTTAAATTTAAAAATAAAATAAAATTTGTGTTTGTATATTGTTGTCTTAAACAAAATGAAGAGCTGCACACATCAGCTCAGTAAATTACAAATATTAATTAACTTTATTAAAACAGTGAAATTGTTTGTTTGCTTGGAAATGGATTCACACTACAACATTTTTTTAATTTAGTGACATTTGAAAATGCCACAAAATTATTGGGTTAATGACATCTTTTAGTCTTGTGGCATTTTAAACAAATGACATTTGTATCCGTGCCACGGTAGATACTAGTGCCACAGTAGATAGTTGCAAGTGCCACTACCCCATCATGGCTAAAAACTTTCAATGACATTTTGATGTCATGGTAGATATTATTTGTGGCACTATCATGCGCCATTAAAAAAAGAGTTAGTGACACTTATAAGTGTCATTACACCATCAAGACTAAAACTTTTCAGTGACACTTTAATGTCATGATAGACACTATTTGTGACGATAATTCGTTGTAGAACAATTTAATCTGCTCTTACGGAGACTCGAACCACCAACCTCCCGCACCATAAACCTTATACACCACACTCTTCCCACTACACCTCTATAGCACCACATGATTATATATGCAACATATATTATTTATATAGTACATACATCCATATTAATATAAAAGTACATGTATAAACATAATTATTTTATTGAACATAATTAATGTAAAATAAATTATTTACTAGCAAAATAAAAAAAAAGACCACTTTTGGCGACTAAAAATAGTTTTTAGTTGTCAATTCTATATTTTTGGCTACTAATTATTTTTTTGTTGCTAAAAAACTTAACTTTTGCCGACCAAAATCGATTTGGTCGCCGAAGATGCACTTTCAGCTACCAAAATTTTGGTCACCAAAAAATTTAATTCCCGCCTTAGGATTTTAGTTCTCCCGCGCTAAAAATGACCACTTTTGCCGACTAAACTTATTTTTTTGTCGCCAATTGTACACTTTTGGCTACTAAAATATTTTTGGGCACCAAAAAGCTTTACTTTTGGCTACTAAAATTTTTTTAGTCTGTAAAACCCATATAATCAGCGACCAAACTTATTTTTAGTCGCCAATTGTAAACTTTTGGTTACTAAATTTTTTTAGTCGCCAAAAAACTTTACTTTGGGTTACTAAAAATTTTTTAGTCACTAAAACCCATATAATCAGTGACCAAACTTAGTTTTTGTCGCCAATTGTAGACTTTTGGCTACTAAAATTTTTTTTTGCACAAAAAAGCTTTACTTTTGGCAACTAATGCTATTTGGTCAGGAAATTTAGTCGCCGAATGTGCTTTTTCTTGTAGTGTATATTGAGTTTAATTTATATATTTTTAATCATTTACTGCATTTTAAAAATTTAGAAAATATATTGGCATTTTTTGTTTTTTCAAAAATGCCATTATAAGCTTGAAAAGTTTTTGGCTTAGTGGCATTTCTCAAAATACTATAAAATATTTGATTATGACACTTTTCACCTAAGTGCCATAAAAAGTAATTTGCACCTACCTAGTGTCCTGACATTTTTTAAAAAATGCCATTGCGACTAAAGTTTAGTGGCATCTGTTGGTAAATGTCACGAACATAATTTTTTGTGTCATTATTTTATAAAATGCCATAAAATTGACGTGACATTTCTTTATTGAAATGCCACTAGAGCCTTATATGCTTGTGGTTCTGTGGCATTTTTCTAAAACATTTAATACCAATTTTTATTTTTGTGGCATTTTCTAAAAACATGCCACTAGTGTAGTGTCACGAAAGTGTAAATTTGTTGTAGTAACATTTTTGTTGTAGTGAAGTGACACTTTTTTTAATTGAAATGCCACTAAAGCCTTGTATGTTTGTGGCTCTATGACATTATTTTGAAAAATGCCACCAAATATTCTTTTTGTGACATTTTTTAAGAACATGCCACTAGTATAGTGTCACTAAAATATGTTTTTGTTGTAGTGTCACATCTAAATTTCAATATTCACTACAACAAAATACACCTTTGGCGACTAAAACAAATTAAGTCGCCAAAAGTTTTAGAGTTGCCGACTAAAATTTTTTTGGATGCCAAAAGTATAATATTTAGCTACTAAATTTTTTTAGTCGGGATATATTGATTATTGGCGACTAAAAAATAATTTAGTCACTAAAAATACTAGAATTAGCGACAAAAAAAAAAATTTAGTTGCCGTATATTGAGTTTTGGCTACTAAAATATTTAGTCGCCGAATGTAAAATTAAAAATTTATTTTTTATCTTTGGCGACCAAAAGTTTAGTTGCCAAAACATATTTTCAGCGACCAAAAATTAGTTTAGTCGCCAAAAAATTAAAAAAAAAATTGGAGGCAGACATTTCTAATTTAAATTTGAGGGATTTATAAAAGTAATTGGCGACTAAAAAATTTAGTCGCTAATGGTGTAATATATATATATATATTTGGTTTCCAAAATTTTACCAGCGCCTCTGTCTCTCTCTCTCTCTCTCTTCAGCATCTCTCTATCTCTCCGGTGCTCCTCTCCCTTCCCTCGCGGTCGCCGAGAACCGGAGCATCGATTCCTACTCCTTTTGGTCACCATCACTTGAGATCCATGATGAGTTCATGAACACCGATTCGGAGCCAAGATCCAGAACAACCTCGTGCCAAGATCGAAGATCTCAACTCCAAAGTCTCCTTCCTCAGATTCTGGACTCCCTTCGATCATTACCACCATCGCTCTACTCCTTGCTTCTCTAACATCGTTTTAGTCGCTTCCGATGACGATTCCGGTAAACCCGCGTCTGTCTAACTACATTCCCGTCTCTGCCCATAAGGTTGTTCTAGTGAGTACCCATTTCGATTTTTAACTTTCTCTGTGTGTTCTTGTTGTGTGTGGACAAACTCTGAAATGGGTAGTGATGATAAACTCTGAATTTGGATCATTGGTTTAGGTGATTGTTTGTTTGATATGTGGATTGTTAAATTTTTTGCCCACCAAGTGTTTGATTCTATGCTCAAGTGACAAATCGCTCCTGAGACAGAGTTTCCATAACACACAAAACAAACCCCACATTTTCTCCTTTTCATTATTCTATTTATTTGTAATTTTCCCATCATCAATCAAATTTGTTCCTAGCCATTTTAGAGAGAGAAAGAGAGAAAAGAGGAGAGAGAGACAGAGAGATATTGACAGGAGGAAGGTGGGATGGTTTCTCATTTTCCTCTGAAGAAAGACTCATCACAGAGAGGGGAAGAAGAAGAAGAAACCCATTAAACCATAATTTTTTTATCAAAGAGGAAGGTCATCATCTCTGCTTTAACTGTGTCCCCCTCTTTTATATGTTGTTGTCAGGTACTTACCTAACAATAACCTTTCTCATCATTTTTTTAATCATTGAGAGTCTCTTGTTGTATTGGTTTTTCTTTCTCTTTCATTTTACTCTTTTCATTTCCATCCCTTAATTTGGGAATTTTCTTGTCTGGGCATCTTTAGCTTATCTTATCCCAATTTTAGGTATTTATCTTTCAAAAAGAAATTACCGTTTTTCTTGTTATGGTTTTGATTTTAATTTTACATCATGGATCCTCAAATTTCCTTGTATATTAGATCATGATGGGCTCTAGGATTAGAATAAAGCTTTGGACCCCCAGTGGGGGTACTGGGGGTCACCTCCCATTGGTCCAAAAAAAAAACAGTTTTTTTTTTTTTTTGAGTTTTCAGCCAACCCCAGGCCGACACGTGGCACTGGGGGTCACTGGGGGTCATCCCCAGTGGGGGTCTGTAGCATTGCTGCTAGGATTATAGGTTTGTTTGCCTAAAAAGTGTTCGACAAAAAGACACTGTTGGTTTATCTTATTTGATGGGTTGTTACTCTTGATCTTTTTCAAATTTCATATTTTGTTTATTCTTTTTCAGTTAATTTGTTGATTTTGCGAGAGGGTTATGATTAAATCAGTCTGGGAATGATTGTCGGATTAATTAGATGATATTCTTTCTGGGATTGTGCTGAATTGTTGATATCTCATGAATCTATGTCCTCTTAAATGATTTGTTGATCTTCTTTGATTTTTTTTAATAAATTATTGTACTCTTATTATTTTTGTTGCTCCTCGAAACTCAGCGATATGATCAATCACAAATTTGATGAGTTGATTGAGGAAAGATCCTTGTTTGTTGAGGAAGGAAGACATTGATAAATGAGTTTTCTTTTGAGAGATTTTATCTATGCGTTTATCATATAACTTCCCTTATATTAATTTTTACCCCATTGCATTTGAGGCCTTAAAGTTTTGTTTGTTTCAATGGAAAAAAATCTTTGATGTTGGAAGTGTTTGATCGATCCTTTAGATAAAATTCTTTTGTTGTCAAAGGTTTTTTTTTTTTTCCTT